TTTCCCTATGTTTTGCCACAATCAGCAGCAAATCCTTAACTTTTACTTGAATGTTCAATGATTTCATTCATATCCATATGGTAGTAAGAAAAAAAATTAAGATATAAATTCCAATTATATGTGGATGCCTCAAATTTAATTTTTTAATTATTTTCATCATTTATGTAAGTTGCTTTACTAATATGATTACTAAGTTTCAGAAGCATGCACCTTGTAAAGTCCATCTTGATTGTTTCTCATGCAATGAATTTTATTTCCTAATTATTTTAACATTCCAATGAACAGTTTCATCATTATGATCAGGTTCAACTACCTATGGATTAAAATTGAGTAATTTTTAAAGTTTTAATATTCACTCTCGATATGTATATCCTCACTTATTTTCTTTTTCCTATTCAACCAATGACATGTTTTATATCCCAAACTCATTTTACTATGTTTATTTTGCTAATTGAATTTTCAATTTATGAAAATCACATCTCTTTGATGTTTTGTTAAACCCTAACTTTGAACGTCACTTCTAGTTAACTTGTTTACACATCTATGAGCTTTGATACCAATAGTATAAAGGACTTTTTTGGGTTTATGGTTTCTTAATATAGATCTTGGATGACAAGTATAATCTCACAAACACAAGTCAAATTTTTTGTTCAAAAACTATTAATTTAATCAAGTATTTTATACAAGTGATAATTTATCGGTTATCTAATGTAAATATTATATAAACATTCAGGATTATAAATGAGTTAAGTTTGATTAGAAACTAACACCCTAATTAAAAAAAAAATTCAGAATCCAAATTCAATAATATAAATGGAGGAAATAAAAGGTAATATCATTATAACAACTTGAGCCATATAAAGTATAAGGAAGTAAGTACCCTTGAAAATCTGCAGTTTTTATCAGCAACTTGTTATAAAGAATTACATTGATGCCACACGAGCAAAATGATAATCAAAATAAAATATGCAATGGAATATTTTAACATGCTCCAAAAAAAAATATTCATAATTATAGATCCAACCATAAATTTCAATTAAAAACTTTGTTGATAGAGTTGGTAGATTGTTAGAAATTTCATAATAGAGTACCGTGGAATCACAAACCTTGGACAGCAATTGTGCCTGGATTCTCATAATAAAAGATTGCAAGTTACATACCCATAATAGGCATTGAACCAACAAAGCTGGAACAAACCCGTAAATATGACCAAGGATTAGGGAAGCTGAACCAGCAGTGAATTGAATCCAAACTCATGGCCGATAACAATGAAGATTAGAAAGGAAAAACACTTATTCTCATAAGAATTATCATAGACATGATTAAAAAAAAAGAAAAAACTAAAAAAAAAAGTGAATCCATATTCACAAGCAAAATTAGATAGCACAACCCATTCTCATAAAGGCATCATAGGTATGAATGTATGATTCAAAGGAAAATTATAAAACTAAAATTCATAAAATTTGAGAAAATTACTAAAATAAAATTTACTCCATGCTTAGATAGCTTATTTCTTCAATGGTACTAGATTTTCTTATATTAGATTTTCTTATAAAAATACGAAATCTGCACTTCTGATGAATGCTTTATTATAGAATAAAGACCCACAGTTGTCTCTTGACTAATTATACGTGGTCATTTTAGTATCAAGGTATCATATTTCTCCAATTTAGTTGATCGAATATATAAAATTTATCTCAGTGTAGTCCCCGATGCACTTAATTAGGATCAATTTCGTGTTGAGGGATTTTTTGGGATCAATTTGGTATCCCAATTTGGTATCCCAATTTTTGTCTTATCCCAATTTTTGTCTTTTTTTTTTTTTGAGAGACCATTTGAGATCAATTTTATGTATTTGAGGGACTAATTTGGCTATATACAAATAGGTAACGAGGTTGTTTTTGGATATTACTTTCTTATATTTTCATTATGATTTCATATATCTGCTTAATTCATGTTAGGAATGGTGATTCACACATTACCATTTTTTTCTTGTATGGTGTAATTATCACCTTCATGTGGAGAGTGCATCAACGTACAAATACCTTCCAAATATACATTATTATTTCTTTTTTATTATCATAAATGTGCTTATCATGGATGTAATCTTCCCTTCACTTAATATAATGTGATTCCGTACATTTTAGGTCTTTGATTAGAAAATTGACGCATCTTGATTTTCTAGGTCCAAAAATACTCTGATTGGGTAGTTAATGGAGACTATGATTGGCCTCCTAGTTGTCCTCGGTGCCAAGCAGAGCTTGAAGCTGGAAGTGAAATTACTCGATTGGGTTGCTTACGTATGCAAAAAAAAAGTTATTTGTGATTGTTTTTTTCCTATTTGCAAAATTTATATATGCATGACAAACATTTTATTCAGAAGCACTTTTGCCTTACTATTTTTTACCTTCTTTGTTTTTGCCATTGTAGACGTTATGCATACCAACTGTTTGGTGTTACATATTCAAAGCTTCCCACCTCAAACTGCACCAGCAGGATATGTTTGCCCTCAATGCTCATCTCCTGTAAGCTCTCATTATTCTTTTTTATGTTTCAATTTTTTCTAACCATTCTTTGGTTTGATCGTGTTTTATAATTTATCAGCATGAAGCAAATCAAATTCTTTTTTGATATGCCGTCGATGCTTAGCCTTGTATTTACATGTGAAATTTCATTTGAAAACAAGGGAAAGCTACCCTTACCTCAGTTCAATTTAAATTACCATCCTATTTAACCTCATCTCTTCTGTAGTATGGGGATTCATTTTTGTTATGATAACTACTGTGTTACTTTACATGAAATGGTGAAATATGAAATGTTCTTATGGTCGAACTCTGACAAACTCCAGCCTTTACACATGGAAAATTAGTTAATTTTGGTTCAATTCATTTTTTTAACCTTTTTTATAGGTCGGTTGCTCAAGTAGATTGAGCTCAGGCCTGTTCTGGGATGCTTTTGTCTCAATTCTGATCCCAGAATCAGCTCAGCTTCAACCTGAGCAAGCTAACCCGTTTTTCCCTCACACAGATGCAAACTCACGCACCCAGCCCAATCAAGCTAACTTATTTTTAATTGAAATTTATGTTAATGTACTCACATGAACTCTTGTTTGTTTAATTTGTTAGTTCTGCCTATCAATGTGTTATCTTGAGTATGCCTGCATGCAGCAGTTGTAGTTTCTTCTTTCCAGTTATCAGCACAAATTTGTTCTCTTCTTGTCCCCTAGTTTGTTGGTCCAGAAAAGGGGGAAAAGATTGGAGCAAATTCTGTAGGCTGCAAGGGATGCAGAATCATGCCAATATTTTCTGCTTAATTAAATTATTTGAAAATTTTTTATAATTAATTTTTTAATAACTTTTTCTTAAGCTTGGTTATATCATTCTTATATTGGATTCATTAGAAAGCTTGGCAATTAGTTTTATTGGAACCTACTATCTGAGAGGGTAATCAAAGAAAAGAGGTTCGCAAAGTGATGCCTAAAATAGATTGGCAATGGTGAATGAAACAAAACTAGTTACTTCAGTATAAAGTAAACAGCTGCCTTTCATTTTCTGTCCCATCTTGTTGCTTGAATGTTGAAATTATGATTTTTTTTTTTATTGAAAAAATTTATCTTAGATGCGAACAAAATGGTGACAGTTTTGTTACAGTGACTTTGGCTGTTTACTAATTTTATAATGGATTACTTTTGTACTGTGTGCAGATTTGGCCACCTAAAAACATTAAAGATACTGGATCTTGCTTGCACACGAAACTGAAGGAAGCAATTGTTCAGGTAAGCTTGATTTTAACAAATCTTCATTGGATGATCATAATTGTGAATTTCCCATCTAATTGTGAAAAATCTTGATTATTCAGGTAAGCTTGATTCGAGCTCATCGAATGATTGAACTAATAGTTCTGCCTACTTTTTCTCCTAATGAATGAAGTTCATCTAATGACAATTTTTTATGAAATCATCTTTACATAATTATCCTGCTTCAGGCACTCCCATTTCTTTGGTCAAAGGTTGTGCACGGATGAACTGATAGATCAGCCAAAGGAAAAAAAAAATGACGTATTTATATTATGAATGTCTGCTGAAAGTCATCTCATCTTTTCAATCCTTACTGTTTTCGGTGTATGGTTAAGTCCCAATATCAATAGGCTGATCATGTCTAATCATTGAATTACCAATTACACCGTCTGAACAGTTGGCTTACCTCTTGTTTTGAAAATTTGGCTAAGTATTGGTGCAACTTAAAATTTTATTATAATGATAATTTTGGCCTCTCATTGCTCTAGGAATGACATGTGAATCTATTGATTATGCTACTTGCAAGATATATTCCTTTCTAGCTTTTGTAGTGATGTCCTAGTATCCAACACAAGTTTTTTATTCTGGTTCCTGCCACCTTGGAGATTTTAAATTCGGTAAAAAACAAGGGCGCCAGGAAAAAAAACCTTATTTTTTTAGTATGTCTAAAAATAAATCTATTTGTTCTGATCTAGTAATTATTTTTAATGTGTGCCTTTTTGATTTTTTTTGTCTCAAGTATATAAATTGTTATAAGCTGTCAGCTCCTTATGAGAAGAATTAGCAAAGACAAAATTTGGATTACTGCCTTACTAAATGAACCGAATTAACATTGATATCTTGAACTCTTAAAATGTAAAAGTTTTAAATGAGAAGTATTTTTGGCGAATTGGTTCAAATATATCATATTGAACAGCATGAGATTAGACAGTTCTTGCTGCTGACAGGCATTTCAGGTAGTTTTTGCTGTATGGCTTCTTATATACTTAGGTTATTTTTTTATTTCTGTTTTTTGCCTGTTTTTCTCTGTCCACTATTTCTATCTTAAGTTGCTACTTGTCCCATATTAGCAATTCATAAATTTCACATTTCAGTTCATTATGAATTTATTCATCAATTATTTCAGAGTGGCCTTGAGAAAAATATATTTGGAAATTACCTTGTGTCATTACCTCCATCAGAGCTCCGTGCTGCACCTCCTGCTTTTGCTTCAGATCCTCTTATTCACATATCCGCTTCTGAGGATGGAGAGAAGGGCAGTTCCAGTTCATTTGATTATGTTAAAGATAAAAGTGTAACCTCCTCTTCTGGTGGATTGCTATCTCTGAAGCATTCTGAAATAGATATTGTGGAAATAGAGGACCCTAGCTTAGCAAAAAACCATTTCTTATCGGATCAAGATCCCAATTTTATCAAAAGCAAGAATGCTACAACTGTAAGTTATAGATTTTCTGTTATCATTTGTTCTATGCTTTTATATCACTTCTGCATGTATGCTCTTGTACCAACCCCTGTTCTGCTTAGTTTATTTCTTGTCTTTGAACATTATACAGCCTGGTGCCACTACACGAAAAGGAAGTCACAATGTTGAACGGCTGAGCTCTGAAGTTTCTTATTATGCAGATGATGAAGATGGGACACATAGAAAGTATACCCGAAGGGGTAAGTCAGTATTGCTTACATTGATAATGCTAATTTTGTCCTTGTTTTTAGTTTAGAAATGTTTGCTTGTTTACCGGTTTTCTAAATGTGGAAGTTTTTAGGAGCAATTTCTATTGCTTGGGAGTATGCATGGAGATGAATTAATTTTTTCCCGTTACTTTTGTGGTTGAGCAATGTTTATTGCTCATAAGATTCTATTATTAACCCACAGAATCAGTATCCGGATTTGTATATTCATTGTACTTGGTTATGATTAACTTATGCTTCAGAGCTACTATAGGTAAATAGCCGTACCTTCTACTGTTGATGAGTGATGGAGAATGAAAACAATTAAACTTGGTATTTTGCTTATGGAATCTATAGTTCCGTACCTTCTACTTAAGCTTATCATTGCTTGATACATTTTACTGTTTTTAATGTTATGGAAATTTTGTGTGGTTTGCTTGCTTGTAAGTCTAAGAATTGAGCTAAAAAAAAGTTTCTATCACCAACACTATGTTTGTTTAAGGACAAAAATTTTATTGTTCACATCCAGGATTAAAATAGTCAAAACCTGCATAGCACAAGCATAAGTGTTGAATCTAGAATTGTGTTCTATGATGCATTGACATGGACACGGGGACACAGACACTGACACGCGGCGCTTCTATTGTTAAAAATATATGATTTTGATAAGCGTCGGACTTGATATTATAATATAAAGGGGCATTTACATATATACCTCCCAATTCTTGTTTATTTACAAATCTAACGGCCAAAGTTTGCTTGGTATGTCTAGGGTTAGGGGGGATGTTTGAGATTGGATTGTTAGTCTTAGGTTTAGGGTTTGTGAAAGATTTCCTACCTCTCGAATTGTAGAATTGGGAGAGATCGTCTACCTCTTGAGTTGTTGGCGCTTATCTTTTGTATTCTTGTTGAGTTGTTTGGATTATTGAAGAAAATATTTGTGTTTGCCTTAATTTCTGTGGTAAAACGTGCGATTTTGATGTCGGATCGTACCAAAACATCAATCGTGCCCATTAGATTGGTTTTCCTTTTGGTCTCGATTAAATGACACCTTCCAAGATTAAACAATTTAACAAATGTATTCTTTTTATATATACCAATTCCCTTCCATTTTTTTGTGACTCCTACACTTGTATGTGAAACTCTGCTCCGGATGTCTGTTTCAACTTTGTGTGAGAATTCATTACACTAATCATCATTATCAATAAATTTGAATTTTGATTTTGAGTATCTCCTTTCTATTTCTAACTGTTTCAAAGCTTGATTATATTGATATTAGTGGGTACTGGACATAAATTGGCCTAAATCAAGTTATTTGATTGAAACATGGATTTTTTGGAGGATATCAAATTAATTTCCTTTCATAACGTAAGTCTAAATGATTAAACTTTCCATCTCAGGCCCTTTCGGTCACAAGTTTCTGAGAATGTTACTTCCCTTCTGGTCAAGTGCATTGCCGACTCTACCTGTGACTGCTCCCTCTCGTAAAGAGAAATTTAATGCAGATGATGCTCAAGAAGGACGCACGCGTCAGCACAGACCATCAAGAATGGATCCAAGGAAAATTTTACTTGTAATGGCAATCATGTAAGTTCTTTAATTATTAGCTTTTCCTTGCCTTTACTACTTAAATGTTTATTGAACTAAACTCTCTTTAAATTGAAATGATTTTATTCAAATTTATGCTTAAAACTAAATGGCTTCTTATGTTTAACCATTAAAATGTTTGATAATTTTTTGTGCTGTACTCATAAAACAAACATGAAACCAATTTATCATTATGAGTTTATTTACCAATGCCTATGACTTAATGCATCCATTTCAATAGCTAGATGATGAACTTTTATTGATGGGCAACGATAAATGTGCACAATAGTAGGACACTTTTATGCATATTAAAATTCAGTATTTCCTAGAAGCTTACATCCTCAAACTACAAGCTTCTTTTTTGGATTAGGCTTACATTGGACCAGAGTAGCAACTGACATATTTAGACCCATAAAAGCTCTCCAGTTTCTTACTAGTCTTGCTGGGCCAGCTAGTCGTGGCCTGGAATAAATATTCTTAGCTAAGTGAGTGGAAGTAGTTTGACTTTGAAACTCGAAATAATGTTGTAATGTACACATCTAGCTTCTATGGCATGTAATACATGTGTTCATTTAGTAGTTTATTTCGCATCCTAGGCATTGCCCTTCAAAATATTAATTGTACTAAATATTGTTACGGTTACCAAGATTGACACTACGCAAGATTTGTCATCCATCATTTTTTTTGTAAATTGAATTGCATTTAGTGTCTTATATGCAATACTTTGTATAATGTTTTTCACTTTCAAAATTGATGTGTTTGCACTAAATGGACTAAAGTGATGCCCGGTTTTTCATACACTAGTGGGGATCAAGTGTTGTAAACATGCTTAGAATTAATTCTCATGCATTGTTTAACCTGAATGTTGACTTAAGACCATGCCATCTATTAAGAAATGAATTTGATTCTTCTCATAGTTTTAAACAAACAAGCATTTCCATTTTTGTCTTCATAAGTTGTATCCCAACTATCTCAAGTTCGTTTTTTGATTTCTAATTCTCAATTTGTTCCCGTTGAAAATTATTTGACATGTTGAATTTAGTTTAGACGTTTTTCTAACAACTTTTGTCTATGTTTTGGCCTAACGCTTCCTTATACGAATTCTTCCATATTAATTCTATTTTCCTACAATCTACTACTTTATTTATATATGCTCAAACCATCTAAATTTATTTTCCATTAATTTCTTTAGTTGGCGCTACTTCTATAACCCCTCAGTTATATTAATCTTTTGATTTATCATTCTAAGTTTTGTTATACATCTATCTTAACATTTTCTTTTGCCATACTCAACTTGTCTATCCATAATTGTTTTTACTGTCTTACACATAGATCCACAAACATAGTTGGTCGAATTGTTACTTTATAAATATTTTATCATCAAGTCACTTTGATAACCTCTCATCACCAAGTATCGTTGAGGCTTCTACTGTTTAATAACTCATCTATTAACTCCTGAAGTTATCTCATCATATACGTCTCAATTCTTTACACATATATAACTTAATCTTCTTGAAATATTGATATTTTTACACCTACTGTATTATATGTCACAGACTTGGTTTTTATTATATTAAAAATGTCTTGATCTTCTAATTATTTACTTTATTGCTTTAACTGTCCATCAATGTATGTTGGGGTTTCACAGTCTCTCCTATATAATTGTTGGCATATATAAATAGCATGTCAGGAACGCAATCACCTCATTTTGAGTATCATTTGTTTATATCTTCATTAAAAACAATACGAGGATAATCATACAATGATTGAGAACGTTTTGGCCTCTCAAAAACTGCTTCTGATTTTAGCTAATGCTTCATTAGAAATTTCTTTAATAATTTCACCATATCTTGGACGCAATTTTTCTTAATATAGATCTAATCAATTCTTGTGGCACATAGGCCATGTATTTTCAAGGTAAATAAAAATCCCATGAAGATCGTTTTGTGTTGGCTTTATTCTCTTCTAATTTCTTTAGCTTAAATCATTTTTATATTTAATCTTTCTAACATGAGACTAAACTGATTTTCTTATACAAACCTGTTTTTTATAACTTCATGCTCCATTATATTCCCTCACAATTTTATCATATGACTGGTATGTTTGATTGCTATATAGTTCTGTCAATCCAAGTCATCTTCTTATTTCTTAGTTTGGTATAAAAATATTTCTCTCATGATTTGATTTCTTAATATATAGTTGGGCATTTACATACATACCATAAAATTCTTATGTATTTACATTATCTAACACAAACTTTCATTCTTACATGCATATCACTCAATTCATTAACATCTCATAAAAAAAAAGGAAAATACTATCACTATCTTTTAAAAGTGAAATAAACCTTTCATGCATAGGTTTATGAACCAAAGTGTTATTAGTGTAAATACCAACCTTTTGCTGTTAGGTTTGTTAACACATAAGAATTGTGTGGTTTGTATGCAAATTTCCCCATTTAATATTCTATTGAATAAATTTGTCAACCAAATAACTCAAATGCCTTTAATAATTCTTCAAATTTTAAAACATGTCTCATTGGGATCAAAAGTTTTTTTCTTCTTTGGAGTGTTAATTTAGTTTTTTTTTTTTTTTTTTAACTCAAACTATGTTATCTATGATTGGAATTCGGAGCTCTCTTCGTTTATTTTTAAAATTCTCATTTAATAAATTTTCATAATGAGATTTGAATTTACTTATGGAGGAAACCTGCTTCTTTAATTATTCACAAATAGGACACAAACACACACACATGCACACACACATTTTGGGAAACCAATCCGTCCTTTCTTTGCAAACTTTTCAAACATATTTTACCTAAATTAGGAAAGAAAATAGTTCTGAATTAAAAATAAGAAAGACTTAAAATAGGAAGAGAATAAACCAATCAAAGGTTTCCTAAGATATCCCAATCAAATCCTCCAAGATTTGGAGGCGGTGGCCGACCTACATCCAAGAGATAAATATGAAAAAGACCAAATCATCTCAAATGTTCACTCTTGCCGTCAAGCTGAGTCATCAATGTTGTAGAGATCGAGCTTGGTATTGAATTGTAAGGTGCTGCAAGAAAGAGCTTTAACGAAGATATCAACAACTTGTTGCTGTGTTGGGATGTAGCTTATTTGTATAACTCCTTCATTGACCTTTTTAGAGATGTAGTTTCCATCAACTTCAATATGTTTGGTGTTATCATAATGCATAAATTTTTAGTAATATTGATAGTTGCTTGAATGTCACAGAACATTTGAATAAGCTAATTGGAAGAACATCAAAGTTCACAAATCCCTAAGGCAAGTGCCTTATACTCTGATTATGCACTTCTTCTCAAAATAATTTCTTGTTTCTTGCTCCTCTGTGTAACTAGATTTCTTGGTGCACATGAGCAATAACCTATGGTGAACCTTTTGTCACTGAGTTCTCCAGCTCAACTAGGATCAATGTTGACGTCCACTTCTGTTTCTGATTTTCTCAAAAAATAATCCATAACCCGGAGTCATTTTGAGAAATTTCATAATCCTGCAAATCATCTCCAAATGCTATTCATTTGGGCAATTCATGTGCTGGCTCACAATATTGAAAGAGTATACATTATCTGACATAGCATGTGATAGATGAATGAGTTTTCCTATCTATCATTGGTATATTCCCTTATCCACAGATATACTTTCTCCTGCCCTGTTATACTTGTTATTGGGTTCCATTAGAGTATCAGCATGTTTGCATTCAATCACCTTTATTTTATTTAGGTGATCTAGGATGTATTTCCTCTATGATATAACATTCTCTTTCTTGGACCTTGCTACGTCCATGTCTAGAAAATATCTCATATTTCCTAGTTATTTGATTTCAAACTCAGTGGCCAATGCTTCTTTGATTTTAATAATTTCTCTTTCATTATCACCATTAATAATCACATCATCTTCATATACAATTCGTGCATCAATTTTTTTTCCTGAGTGTGTTTTATGCATAATGTGTGATCAACTTAACTTTGAGAATATCCATTGAATTTTGTAGTTTTAGCAAATTTTTCAAACAACACCCCTGGTGATTGTTTAATCCCATAGAGAGATTTTTTTTAGTTTGCATACTAGTCGTTTATTGGAATTATTTTCAAATTCTAGTGAAATCTCCATGTACACTTCCTCTTCCAGATCCCTATTCAGGAAGATATTTTTTTTATTTAAAGTTGATGAAGCCCCCATTCCCTGCTAACGACTATTGAAAGAAGAATTTTGATAGCATTCAGTTTGACAACTGGTGCGAATTTCTCATAATAGTCGATCCTATATGCTTGTGTGAAACATTTCATAACAAGTCTGGCTTTGAATCTCTCAACATTTCCATCAGTTTTATATTTTATGTTGAACGCTTATTGCATCCAACTGGCTTCTTATCCTGAGAAATTTTATCAAGAGTCCATGTGCCATTATACTTTAATGCTCGAATTTCGTCTTTCATTATTTTTCTCTATTCAAAACTTTCAAGAGCTTCATAATTAAATTTAGGAATCTATAGGCCGAGGATAGCTTTCCATAAACTACATACTCCTGAATTGGGTATCTCATACAACTTTCCTTGTTATCAGCATCAGAAGATAAAGGGGATAACTCATGAGTATTAGACTCTCCCAAAATTTTAGGTTATGCACTCGAGCTTTGGTTGGAGCAGTTCTGTTTTTGCCATTTAACTTTCACTTTCTCGAGGTTTTTCTTCCTCCTAGAGTACGTGGACTTCAGCTTAGAGTAGTTGGATATCCTCAACAAGAGTATGAGAGTCTTGTGGAAGAGGAGTAGGTGGGTTTCTCGTGTAGATGTTATCAAGTGCATCTCAAAATTGATCTTCATTTACCCTCTTCCTTGAACATCAAATTTGGGATAGTAGTATTGATTCTTAAAAAATATGACATTCATGGAGTTGTAGTATTTTATGGTGGCAAAAGTGTAACACTTATACCCTTTTTTGTTGAAGGCATACCCAAGAAAAATTTAGTTGATAGATTTAGGGTTGAGTTTGGTGCGAGTTGGAGAATGAATGTGAACAAAGGATACACACCCAAAAATGTTAAGTGGTGTAGTAGGACAGAAAGCTTTGATTTGTGGATATGTTACCATCAAAATTCCATTTTTTAAGAGACAGGACCCAATATGAAACTGAAACATTCCTTTGTTTTGTTAGCTTTGTGGATCTAATATTTTCATTGGAATTGAGTTTGAATCATGTCATAAAGGTTTGAAAGATTTGCGATGTTTCATATTTTTTTAGCATTAGGAATACTCAAGTACTCTAGTATGATCCTCAATAAATAAAACAAATCATCTAGCACCACTTAGGACTTTCTCTTTTGAAGATAGATCCCCAAATATCATTGTGGATATTGGAAAAGGAGTGTGGGGGTTTATAGTGAGTCATGTGATAACTATTTCTAGTGTTTTCGACAAGTTGACTAGTCTCACATTGATAAAAATTAGGTTTTTTTTGTTAAGAAATAATTGTGGATACAACTTAACAGTATAATCTAAGATAGGATGGCCCAAACAACAATGCCATAACACGACCTTTTTTCGACAGTATAATCTAATATTTGTAAATTTGAGGGACATATGACGGTGGGATCAATTGTGTGTTTAGAGAGATTTTTCTTGAGCACGTACAAGCCATGATACATTTCAGCACTGTCAATCACTTTCCCCGATTTCACCACTTGAAATTCACAAGAGTTTGCATATATATTTCATATCATGAGTAAGCTTACCGTATGAAATTAAATTGTAATACAATTGCGGAACATAGAAGACAAGAAAAAGTAATATCCCGAGAGAGCTCCACTTCTTGTCTCCCAGCAATGTTTGAGTGGGAATTATAGGCAAGTCTTTCCAATCTAGATGTAGAAGCCTCTTGATAGCTGATTAGAGTATTGATGTCTCTCTCCAGTCATATGATAAGAGGCTTATGAATCTATGATCCAAGTTCTGGATCTTCCTTTACTGGCAACATGGGAGAATGATATATTACCTTCGTGTGTCACGAGGTTGGTGTCTTGCACTAAATTACCTCCAAAGAGTTTCTTCAGTACTTGAAGCTGTTCCTTGGTGAATGGTTGCTTCTATCCTTCAGATGTGGCAGCAGCATTTGTCTGTTTCTCTTGGTCCTTCCTTCCCTGCCCAGGTTTCCAGTCGGGCGGTTTTCCACAGAGTTTCCAACATTTATCTTTGATATGCCCAATCCTCTTTCAATAGTCACATTTAGACGGTTCTTCTCGACCTTTGAGCTGAAATTTTTGTGTTTGGTGAACCCCCATTTCCTGTTAGCATCAATTTCTTCCTGCTCTATTCTCTCCTGACTAAAGGAAATACTTCACATGGAGATGGAGAGGATTTCTTACCTCTCACTTCCCTCTCATCTCTTACCCCCTCATCCAATTCGTGAGTTAGTCCTGCTAGGAATATGATTGTTGATGATAGATTTAAATGACCTTTCTTATCGATGATATATTTAAATGACACAACATCTTGTGCATATTTTCACACATATTTCAAACGTATCAAATTGTAGCCAATACTTTGAGAGAGTTTTGAAGTGTTTTGTGACGTTTAGCTCTCCTTAACAAATGTCATGAAGCTTGATTTCAATCTCAAACAATTCCGCTGCGCTTTCGATGCTGAAATATGTTTTTCTTGCAGCCTCCCAGATTTCTTTGGCAGTTTTGTAGAGCAAAAAAGTTTCTCCCACTTCAGTGATCATTGAGTTGACTCACCAAAACATAACTATATGATTTTGATGCTTTCATGTGCGATAGTTGGGATAAGTGATCTTAGAAAACGTGTCCTCTCCCGTAAGATGTTCCTCTGTCTCTTTACCACAAATAGACATAAACATGGATTGAGACCATTGAAGGAAGTTATGGCCATTGAGTTTATGATTTGTGATAAACTTAGAGAGTTCAGAAGCCCTCTGCATTGAATTCCCGGTCTCTGATGCGGAACTAGCCTCTGAAATAGAACTTGATTTCTTCATCTCTTACTTGGTCATGAATTCTCTGCGAATTTAGGGCTGCTGATTTTTGCAGGAAGAAGAAGAACAATTGGCAGCTGTGTTGTTGCCCCTACTGCTTGCTGCCTCTGCGGCATCAGCGACTGCTGCCGCTGTCCGTTGGCTGTTACTGCTTCTTGCTGCTGCTTTCTGGTGGATGCTGCTGCTGCTGGTAGGCAGAAAGATAGATATCAAGATGGATTCCGACAAAGGAGGGGCCTGCACTAGGGAATTCCAGCTGCAGGGAAGAGATCCGGAGGCAGAGGAATACAGAGGAAGGCGTGCTGCAGGGAAATTCCAGCAGCAGGGAGGAGTTCCTGCAGAGGGCCCGCAGCAATGCCAGCAGCAGGGATTGCTTCCGGTGGCTCAGGAGACCAGGGAAGGGTCAACAGGAGAGCTTATGATATACAGGGAAAGATTCCAGAGAGGGCCTGCTACCTGCAGAAAGAGTGCCGGTTGCAGGGAAGAGGACTCGCTCTAGGGAAGAGGAGATTTTTGGCAACCTGCTGGGGTTCCAGCTGCTGTTGGAGGTTTCAGAGAGGACTTGAGTGCCGGTTGCATGGAAGAGGCTCGCCGCAGGGAAGAGAACTCGCTGCAGGGAAGAGGAGATTTTTGGCAGCCTGCAGGGGTTCCAGCTGCTGTTGGAGGTTTCAGAGAGGACTTGAGTGCCGGTTGCATGAAAGAGTGCCGACTGCAGGGAATAGGACTGGCTGCAGGAAAGAGGAGATTTTCGGCAGCTTGCAGGGGTTCCAGTGGCTTTTGGAGGTTCCAGAGAGGGCCTGCAAACTGCAGAAAGAGTGCTTTCTGCAGGAAAGAGGAGATTTTAGGCAGCTTGCAGGAGTTCTTGTTGGAGTAGTTTCGGCGGAGAAGCTTTTGTTTAGTCTTTGATATCATATTGAATTTACTTGAGGCGGAAACTTGCTTCTTACATTATTCACAAATAAGGGATATATATATATATA